AAACATGCCATGACTAGTGACAGTAGCTTCAGACAGGAGAGTCATTCAACTTATTAGATGCTCCCTACATCCACAGATGTTCCTAGGAAGGAGATGATGAGTGTTCCCCGTGATGAGTATGAGAGGTTTGTCTAGGCCACATCGCAGCAGAACATGGCCACTCTTGCACACTCAGGTATGGCTTGTCTAGCATCCACACCCAATCCCTGGATTATTGACTCTGGAGCCTCCGATCACATGACTGGAACTCCAGGTGTGTTTTCTTCCTTCTCTCATTTCCCAACATCACAATCTGTTACCCTTGCTAATGGTTCCACATCCTCCATTTGTGGTGTTGGTAATGTTAACATGGATCCTTTACCCTTATCCTCAGTTTTGTATGTCCCTAAATTTTCGTTTAACCTTATGTTAGTTAGTAAGTTGACCAAGTCTTTTAATTGCTCTATTACTTTTTACCCTTCTTTGTGTGTTTTTCAGGATCTCAAGACGAGGATGAAGATTGGTGGAGGGCATGAAGTTGGTGGATTGTATTATCTTGACGGTGGTGGAAGTACGTCAACAACTCTCCAGTCATCTCTTTCTCCTCTCCAGTGGCACTGTCGATTTGCTCATCCTTCGCTGAAAGTTTTGAAGTCTTTGTTTCCTTCGTTGAGTCATCTTTCTGTTTTGAATTGTGAGTCGTGTCAATTAGGGAAACATCATCGTGTTCCCTTTAGTCCTAGAGTTGATAACCGTATGTCGAGTCCTTTTTCTTTGGTTCATTCAGATGTTTGGGGTCCTTATAAAGTAATGTCATACAATGGGTATAATTATTTTGTCATTTTTGTTGATGATTATTCAAGGATGAAGTAGCTTTATTTAATGAAAGAAATGAATGAATTGTTTGCCATTTTCCAAAATTTTATGCTGAAATTTGCAACCAATTTGGTGTCCACATTAAAATTTTTTGTTCCAATAATAGTTGTGAATATTACTCTACATCATTTCAAGAATATTTAGACCAACATGAAATCATCCATCAGACTTCATGTACCTACACCCCACAACAAAATGGGGTGGCTGAGAGAAAGAATAGTCATCTTTTGGAAACTGCTCGATCCCTCATGCACCACATGAATGTACCCAAACCTTTTTGGAGTGATGCAGTGCTTACTTCCTGCTTCTTGATTAACCGGATGCCCACGTCCATCCTTGATGGTCATTCTCCATTCACCACTTTGTTTCCTACCTTGTCTCTGTTTCCTCTTTCTCCTCGGGTTTTTTGGTGTGTCTACTTCGTTCATAATCTGGGGCCAAGAAGGGACAAGTTAGATGCACGATCCATTAAGTGCATCTTCCTTGGCTATTCCCGAACTCAGAAAGGGTATAAGTATTATCATCCTAGCTCTCGACGTTCCTTTGTGTGTGTTGATGTTACTTTCTTTGAGTCTACTCCATTTTTCTTGGGGTCCAGTGATGCTTCTTCCTCCTCATCACCTCCTCCCCTTCATTTTCCAGTTGCGGATTTTGTTCCCCTTGTTCCAGCTGTGACCAAGTCCTTGCCTCCGGTGCCACCTATTCTTCAAGTGTATACACATCGCCAACATGTACCAGCTCCTCCTCCAACTCCATCATCAACGACAGATCCGGCAGTTATCCCCACACCAGCCCCAACCACAGTATTTGATCTTGATCTTCCCATTGCCTTGCGGAAAGGTAAACACAGTTGTCCCCACACCAGCCCCAACCACAGTTTCTCTCACTCACCTTTCTGCTTCCCATCGCCAGTTTATCTCCTTGTTATCCTCTGTTGTTGTCCCTAAGGATGTCCAGGAAGCCCTTGCCTCTCCAGGGTGGCGTCGTGCAATGGAAGAAGAACTCTCAACTCTAACTCATAATCATACATGGGACCTCACCACTCTTCCTCCTGGTAAGTAGGTTGTCGGTTGTAAGTGGGTTTATACTATTAAGTACTTACCTGATGGTAGTGTAAAGCGGCTGAAAGCTAGACTGGTTGCCAAAGGGTACTCCTAAACCTATGGTATTGACTACACAGAGGCCTTCTCCCCGGTTGCTAAGATTGGTTCAGTTCATGTTGTGATTTCCCTTGCTGCTATGTATGATTGGCCCCTCTATCAACTTGATATCAAGAACGCTTTCTTGCACGGTGATCTACTCGAGGAGGTCTATATGGAGCAACCACCGGGGTTTGTTGCTCAGGGGGAGGATGGTAAGGTGTGCTGACTAAAGAAAGTCATTTATGGGCTTAAACAGTCTCCTTGAGCATGGTTTGGTAGGTTCAGTGAGGTGGTAAAGAAGTTTGGTATGAAGCAGTGCCAAGTTGACCCTTCAGTCTTCAGTCATGACTCTCGGGCTGGAAAGATCCTATTGGTGGTGTATGTAGATGCTATTGTTATTACCGGGAATGATAAAGTGGGAATCGATAGGTTGAAAACTTTTCTGCAGGAACATTTTCAAACAAAGGACCTTGGTAAACTAAAATATTTCTTGGGGATAGAAGTAGTAAGGTCTAAGCATGGTATTAACTTGTGTCAAAGGAAATATATCCTTGATTTGCTGGAAGAAACAGGTTTGTTAGGCACTAAACCAACTGAAACACCTATGGAAACAAACACTAGGTTGAGTAGTGATATGGGTGAAGAGTTTGAAGATCCTGGCAGATACCGGCAGCTTGTAGGTAAACTGAACTACCTAACCATTACTCGGCTAGACATTTCATTTGCGGTTAGTGTGGTAAGTCAGTTCATGCAGAAACCTTGGGTTCCACATTGGGATGCAGTTCTAAGGATTGTGAGGTATTTAAAAGGGGCTCCAGGTCGTGGTTTGATATACAGAAGTGGTGGAAAACTTGAAATAGAAGGATATACCGATGCTGATTGGGCCGGTTCTATATCTGATAGGAGATCTACTACAGGCTATTGTACTTCTCTTGGGGGTAATCTGGTGACATGGAAAAGTAAAAAGCAAACAGTTGTGGCAAGAAGCAGTGCAGAGGCAGAATATAGAGCTATGGCACATACTACTTGTGAATTAGTGTGGCTAAGGAACCTTCTACAGGAGATGGGATACACTATTGACACTCCAATGAAGCTCTACTGTGACAATCAGGCTGCAGTCCATATTTCCTATAATCCGGTGTTTCATGAGAGAACCAAGCACATAGAAGTTGACTGTCACTTTGTGAGAGAGAAGGTGCTTAGTGGAGTGACAGATACTGCATAGGTTAACACATGAAACCAATGGGCAGGCTTGTTTACTAAAGGGTTGAGTCGGGGAAGAGTGGATTACATATGTAACAAGCTGGGATTATATGATATATACTCACCAGCTTGAGGGGGAGTGTTAATGTTGACTATGTAGGGGTATTTTTGTCTTTATGCTTATGTTTAAGCTGCTGATGTGTAAGGCTATGTTAGATCTTATGTCCCTCACTTAAGTAGGGGCACATGTCATTTCCAGATTAATAGTAATATAAAAACAAATCTGGCCGAATGGGAGAGAGAACTTCTCTCTTGTTCGAACCAGAACTTTCTCTCCTTCTCTTCTCTTCTCTTCTTCTTCTCTCTCTTTCTCTCTTTCTTTTACTTCTACTGTTATCAGTCTAACAGGATTCAAGGGCAGGCCGAATCTTAATAATACAAGACACATAATATTTTAATATTTTACTTTCTGATAATTATAACATTACAATAGATATCATTACACATTTACATCAATTGTTCATTTTGTGTGTCCACAATACGTATTCTTATACTAGTTTCTTGTTATTGTTTTCTTATTTGTTTGGGTTCAATCGACACAGAAGTTAGTGGACATTGTCTTGAACCATTTAAAACATTAAAATCTGAACCAATAAGGAAGAATTTAAAGATTTTATCCAATCAACACACAAGAGCAACTGAGGTACGCCTTTTCTTCTTTTTGCTGGGACAAAAAGGGTATCCACGTCCACCCCTTCTCTTTCATTTTCTATGTTTTTTTTAACTTCCTTTTCTTCCTAGGACAAAAACAAGGGTCAGCCCCTACATTTTCTATGTTTTCATTTCATTTTTCTTTTTCTTCTCATAAATATGTTGGTTCTCTATGTGGTGATATGTTTACACATCTTTTCATATCTTGCAAGGTAGCTGGTTTCTTGTAGAAGTTCAACACCTCACTGTTTGGATTTCCAAATTTTCAGCCAGAAACTGCTGCAGAAATTTTTTTTCTACTTGGCTAAAGTTAAGAGGAAGTAAAAAAGCAAAAACTCTCTGGAGCTGCTTACCGTTTGCTATTTGCTGGAACATTTGGAAGGAAAGAAATACAAGAGCTTTTGAAGACAAATACTGGAATCTGGATAAGATTGTGGCAGCTGTCAGTAATGCGGTTGCAGATTGGATTCTGGTCTCTCCAGACTCCAGCTTTTAACCAAGTTTCTAAAGAGGGTTTGGGTGACAGATTAGGGGATATCTTGGAATATCAACTTGTAACTTGGATGGATTTTAGTTATGGTTTCCTGTCAGCTTTTGTTGTTGATTGTATGAGGGCAACGCCTTATCACCTCTCAGGATGGAATTTTTTCTTCTTTTAATGAAATTTCATTTTTATCTTCAAAACAAATATGAGGTTTATACTTGTTTGATGAGTTATTGATAATTATTAGTTAAGATAACTGCTGGTTGCTATGAAACCTAGGGAACTACCCTAGGGTTCAATTTTTTATAAAAACTCACTACCTAAGTGATACGGTGATACCTAGGTTCAATTTTTTACAAGGCACACTGCTGTCATCTAGCTTCACCTTGGTGCCTTGAAAAATATGAGTTTTGCTAGTGGATTCTACAGGAGAAAGGGAAAAGAAACTGAAATAACTAGCAAAACCATCCTAATTATTTACTGTCTACAAAATGAATTGCATAATAATCACTGCATCTAGAAATTCAAAGAATAACAAAAATTTGAGAAATCAAGAGTTTGTTGGTGAATTCTACATCTTTTAAGCCAGAAAGGACAATGCTTACCCTGTTTATATTGTAAAGGGCTTCTACCATCTCTACAGATCTATTCAGTACTACACCAGCAACCTGCAAATTAAAATGAAAGAGCAATCACTAGAAGATTCCAAGAAACTAGATTATTAAATTAAGACAATTGACTTGATCCTCGCACTGCAGCATAATGGGATTACGAAAAGTTACAAAAACACAAACCACCCTTCTTGCATGGAGAAGGGTTTCTAAACACAAAACACAAACGGGCATACACACAAAGCATATTGATGTACTGAGCCCTAATAGCCCACATTACCAAGTACACAATAAAATAAATAACCAAAATAATAGCTCAGCTGGACAATCAGCCTATCTTTAAATATCACATCAGACCAAATGATGAAAAATGAGCAAACCTTCTTCCAGTCTTTTCCATATTTCCTGTACGCCTCATAGAAACGGATGAGTTCTTCCCTACTCCATTGAGGCCCTAACATGTCAGACAATGTCCTCTTCTGCACAGAAGAAAATGATGGTCAATACTTTGAAAATATTCATAAAGACAAAGCATTTAAGAAATCAGTTCCTGTTATCAATCTGGCATGCATAACATTCTTTACCAATTACCATATGCAAAGACTTCACAAATTTCTTTTTGGAATACTAAAAAGGAGCATAGGAATAAATTAAACTTACATTAACAAAGAGCAAATGATAGTAATAAGAAAGCATTATGAAAAAATCAAAACCACAAAAAGAAACCATATTCTCAAAATAAGTAATATAAACAACATATGAGAGAAGTCATCAAAAACATGTATTTATAGAAGAAATACGCCAAGTATACAGACACACACACACACACGCATCTGATGAGTTATGGATGCCATTCATATAAGTGAAATATGAATTTGTACAACATATGTAAGCAAGTAAAGGTAGTTTTGATTCATGTTAGAGTCGACTATACAGGGGTAGTTTTATCTTTTCAGTATATTATTAGTGTGATGTATTGTCTATTATGTTCAAGTTTAAGTTATATGTCCCATACTTCATTAGGAGAATAAGAGTCTTTATGTACTTAATTAGAAACATATAAATACAATCTGCCCAGCTAGAGAATTGACTTTTTTTCTCTAGATCGAACCAGTTTTCTCCTCCTCTTCTTTCTCTCTTCTCTCTCTTTCTTTTGTCTTTATTCTCTTCTAATCTAGAGCTGCAACCAGTACAGATTTGTTCTGTAACATGGTATCAGAGCCACCATGAACAGTTCAGGTTAACCCAGAATTTCCTGGTTCATCCTTTGCCCTAGATCTCTGCAGAGATCTCATCGATCCCTTGGAGTTTCACAACAAGGCTGAAAAGGAGTTTTCGTTTTTCCTTCTTGGAGGTCTTCATGTCTCCAATTGGTTGTATGGTGCTCGTTTCATGTGGTTTGTAGAAAACCTCTTATCAATGGATCGGAGATGTTGTTTCAGGTGGTGTGGTGATCAGATCAGTGCAGTACTGATTTATCGAGTTCAAACAAGTAGGTTATATGGGTGATACAGTGTGAGATAGGTAGTAATCAGTTGCAGGTCTGGTAGTAAGTGTTTTGGTGCATTCGGGTATCTTCTATGGTGTTGAAACAGCAGGGCTGCAGTGACAGTTAGGGTTAAGGAAAAAAAACATGTGCAGTGTGGTGGTTAGCAAGTGAAGTGGTGTGAAGTACTAGTGAGTGAAGTTTTTTTATGGCAGCAATCGGAGACAACAGTGGACATAAAACTAGTGTTATGATTCCCCCTGATTATCTAAGTGTGCAGAGAGATGTGATTCAGACCAATAAAAAATAGTAAACTATTTCAGATTATAGCAAAAGAGGAAGAGAAGAAGAAGGAAGAACGGAGAAGAAGGAAGAAAGAAGGAGTTCGATAATCTCCTCTTTCTCCACTCTAATCTTTTATTAATCTTACTAAGATTACATAAATTACAAGTCTGCCCTTAAGTGGGCATCCACCTCATCAGCATACTTAGAAAACATAAAAAAGAATTAAAGGCCTATTAAGAACAAATAACAAGAAAGAACTAATCAACAAGATAATAATGGGCTAGGGCCCATTTGGCCCAGTCTCTCTACACAAATGACCTCTATTAAGTTGAATAGTGAGAATTATGTACCTTGGCCTAAATCTATAGAAATCTTTCTTAGGGCTAAGAAGAAGGTGAAGCATGTGAATGAGGAGAAACCCTCAGCTGATTCTCAGGGTTACAATGAGTAGAAATAAGAAGATGCACAGATTATGACATGGTTGTGGAATAGTATGGAACTGAAGATTAGTGTGAATTTTATGTTCTTAGATACAGCCAAGGAGATTTGAGACCATGCAAAGAAGTTGTACTCTATACAAGACAACACTACGAGAGTATATCAGCTTTACCAGAAGTATTTTAATATGCAACAAGGAAATCAAAGTCTTAAGGAGTATTATACTAGTATGAGGAATCTTCGGAATGAATTGAATGTTTATCATCCCCTTACATCTGATGTCAAAGTTCAGCAACAACAGAGAGAACAACTTGATGTAACCAGATTTCTAGTAGGTTTGAAAGCTGAATATGAACCGGTGAGAGCACAGATACTAGGCGGATATGCTCTTCCCTCTCTAGAGGAAGTGTTTGCTCGTCTCCGGAGGATTTCTGTTGGACCCCCAGAGCATCCTATTGTAATTGATAGATTTTCCTTTGCAGCAACTAGAGGTGGAGATCGTGGTGATAGAGGAGGAGCTCGAGGAAGTCAGCCAGGTCATGGTGTAAGTAATGGTACCATGTTCAACCATGGTGGTGGACGTTTTGGAGGTCGGGACTCAAGGGAAGCATGTGGTAGAGGATGGGGTAATGGTGTGAGAAGGTGTACACACTGTGGTATGGAGGGGCATACTATCAATTTTTGTTATGATCTGCCTGGGCCAATCATGCGATGACTAGTGGTGGTGGTTAGAGAGATGAAATTCAGCAAAGTGATCTGACACCTTCTACACCTACAGATGTCTCTAGCAAAGAGATGATTAGTGTTCCACATGATGAGTATGAGCGGTTTCTTCAGGCTACATAACAGCAGAATATAGCTACCCTTGCCCACTTAGGTATGGCTTGTCTGGCATCCAAATCCTCCCATTGGATTATTGATTCTAGAGCTTCAGATCACATGACTGAGACTCCAAGTGTGCTTTCTTCTTTTTCTCGGTCACCTCCTTCACACAGTTACCCTTGCTAATGGCTCCACATCTTCAATCTGTGGTATTGGTAATGTTAACCTAGACTCCTTAGTCCTTACCTTTGTCATCGGTTTTGTATGTTCCCAAATTTCCTTTTAACCTTATGTTTGTTAGTAAATTAACCAAGTCTCTTAATTGTTTCATCACTTTTTACCCTTCCTCTTGTGTTTTTCAGGATCTCAAGGCAGGGAAGAAGATTGGTAGAGGGCATGAAGCCAGTGGATTATATTACCTTGATGGTGGTGGCTCATCAACATTTCTTTATTCGTCTCTTTCTCCTCTTCAGTGGCATTATCGGCTTGGTCATCCATCTCTTAAAGCTCTCAAGTTACTTGTTCCGTCTTTGGGTAGTCTTTCTACTTTGCAATGTGAGTCGTGCCAGTATAGGAAACACCATCGTGTTCCCTATATGTCTAGGAGTGATAATCGTTCGTCCAGTCCTTTTTCTTTGGTCCATTCGGACATTTAGAGTCCAAATAAAATAGTGTCATACAATGGTTACAAATACTTCGTAATTTTTGCTGATGATTCAAGGATGACATGGCTTTATCTTATGAAAGAAGGGAGTGAAGTGTTTTCTATTTTCCAAAAGCTTCATACTAAAATTTGTACTCAATTTGGTGTGCCTATTAAAATCATTTTTCTGATAATAGCCGAGAATATTTTTATACACCTTTTCAACAATATTTGGAGCAACACGGTATTATTCATCAAACCTCATGCCCTTACACTCCTCAACAAAATGGGGTTGCTAAAAGAAAGAACCGCCACCTCTTGGAAACTACTCAGTCCCTTTTACACAATATGAACGTCCCCAAACGTTATTGGAGTGATGTTGTATTTACATCTTGCTTTCTCATTAACCGGATGTCCACGTCTATCCTTAGAGGTCATTCTCCCTTCTCCGTCTTATTTCCTCGTTGTCTCCTTTCCATCTCACTCCTAAGATTTTTGAGTGTGTTTGCTTTGTTCATAATCTTGGGCCCGGAATGGACAAGTTAGATGCACGATCTACTAAGTGTGTCTTTCTTGGCTATTCTAGAACCTAGAAAGGGTATAAGTTTATAATCCTAGCTCTCAACTTTCTTTTATTTGTGTTGATGTTACGTTCTTTGAGTCTGTTCCATTTTTTCGGGGTCGGACATCTCCTCTTTTTCTCCACCTCCACTTCCATTCCGGTTGCGGATACTTGTCTAGTAGAGATTGTGATCAGTCCTACTCTAGATGAGAATTCAACAAGAAAAAAACAGAGAATGGAAGAGGAAGGAGAGAGAAATCGAAGGGAAAAGAATTCAAAGAAGAGTGTGGGTTGACTTGCACATTGCCACCCCACTCAGCTATTTATATTAAAGATTTAAAACATAGCAAACTAACAATATTGCCCCTAATAACATAACTTATCAACAACTAAAGAATAACAAAAATAACTAACTTACTGACACTACTAACATGCCAACAGCTACATAAATGGTATGCTAACAACAACATAAATAAAGATATTATTGCCCTACAACTCTACACTCCCCCTCAAGTTGGGAGTAGATATCAATCATTCCCAACTTGCGTAAGTTTGTCTCCATCTTGGTCTTTGGAACTGCCTTAGTGAAGAGACCAACGAGCTGCATGTCAGAGGCAATATATGGAAGCCACACTTCTTGAGAAGCAACTCTCTCTCTCTCTCTCTCTCTGATAAAGTGTCGATCCACTTCGATATGCTTAGTTCTATCATGTTGAGCCGGGTTATGAGCAATATTGATAGCAGCCTAATTATCAAAATACAGCATTAAGGGCTTATCATAAGCAATGCTTAGTTCTTCAAATAGATATCTCAACCATAAGACTTCAACCACATCATTAGCCATAGATTTGTACTCAGATTCAGCACTGGAACGAGCAACAACATTTTGTTTTTTACTTCTACAAGAGATAAGATTCCCTCCTATAAATGCACAATACCCAGAGGTGGATCTCCTATCATCAACACACCCAACCCAATCAGCATCTGTGTAGACTTCTATTTTCATGTGACCATTATCTTTGAAGATTATGCATTTGCCTAGACATCTCTTTAGATAAGCAAGAATCCTCTCAATTGCAAGAAGGTGAGTGGTTCTAGGGGAATGCATGTATTGCTAACAACACTGACCGCATAAAAATGTCCGGTTGTGTGATGCAAAGATAAAGAAGTTTCCCAACCAAAAAATATCCGGGAGATTGTTTCAGTCCATATAAGGCTTTATTCATCCGGCAGACCTTCTTTC